GATCATAGCTTTGGTGAGTCAAGGAGAATTATTTTACCCTCCTTGGGGCTGACGCTAAGGCCTCATTTAAAGCTTACAAGTGCCTCTGTAAAATACACAACGTTTAAAAGGATTATTAATCTGTACAAACAGCACAAATCCAAAGCACAAGAATTGTAAAAACAAAAATAGCTGCCGTTAAACTCTGTGCAGTGTTGCAGTGATTTTTAGTATTTTTAGTACAAGATAGAACAGACCTTATGTGGATTGTGGTGCTCAGTGTTGCCAGATAAAAAAATTTCATGTCGCCACCAGAGGCGGTGAAAGTCGCCAAAATAAAGTAAAAGTCGCCAGTTTTTTTTAAGTACATTTTTTTGTGAATTTTTACTTGTAAAATAAAAAAATAACTGAACATGTTCACACATGATTTTTATTTAAATAACATAGTTTAGGTAACATTTACAATCAGCGTCAAATCTGCTTTATATTACATAGGTATTTACAAATTCCACATCGACCTAAAACATATCCCAGATAGCACAAAGGTATACTATGGACGTCCAATGGACGTATGCTCGTGGACGTCTGTATGTACATAGGATGTCCATTTTTTTTCTATGTACGTCCCATGGACATCCGTTTAGAGTCCAGATGTCACAACTTTGGACATCCATAAGTCGTCCACCGATGGACGTCTATAAGGTGTTTGAACCATTCCTCCAGCATCCAGGACCTGCTTTTTTGCTTACTTTAACTGTTTTTTGCGACTGCAGTCGAAAATACATGTATTTTCATTGCGATGTTGCAGAAAATTTTCTACAACATGACTGAAATGCCTTTTGTCTGGCTCAGTAACAATCCCACTAGGAATATAAATATTCTAAAAGTTGTTAAAAGTTACAACATTCAATGTTAAACATTGCAGGGAATCCTTGTATTCGACTCAGGAACATTACATTTGCAATACTACAAGTGTTTAACATTTCATTGATAGCTTAAGTCCTTTATAGCACGCGCTTGCTTGAATGTCAGTGAGATTGATCATAACTGTTGTTATGCAGCCAACAATACGTTTTAACTTGCATTTCTGTAATAATAATTATGGACGTAAAATGGACAATATATGGACGTCCATTAAAATCGTACAAAGGATGTAAATATATGGACGTACATAGTACATCCATTTTTAGTCCGTGGACCAATGTACTTAAAATGGATCTTAAACGGACGTCCATTGGACGAATGGTGCTATCTGGGATGTTTTATGTCGATGAACCTATTTATATTATTCCGATCATAGCTTTGGTGAGTCAAGGAGAATTATTTTACCCTCCTTGGGGCTGACGCCGGTATAGCGCCGAAAATCGCCCAAATGGCGACTTGTGATTTTTGTAAATTTATGGTCGCCAGAGCGAGTTAAAAATCGCCCAATTTGTGATAAATCGCCCAATCTGGCAACACTGGTGGTGCTACCCATGTGTCGTCTCTGGTTCTACATATAATCAATTTACGCAGCCTAAACTAACTGGGAGTTTCTGTTTTATTAGGTTGGCTAGAATAACAATGAACGCTTTTGTTATTTTTTATTTTTTTTCACAATGTTGGTAAATTTAAGCGGCCTAGTATTTCTAAAGAAAGAAAACGCAACATTCATCAAGCATTCTATAAAATTCTAAAAAATTGGCAAATCTTATCAAAGAAAAATTCGACAGAGGACCTTACCTTAAATTCAAAGACCCATTTGGATCTCAGCAAAGTAACTACGCAACCAGAATCTAGTTTGGACTACCGTACGTAAATTGATATTATAGTTGTCGCGGGCAATAATTGCGTCATGAATGTCGAATGTCAAAAACTGATTTCTCGACATACGTATAAAAAACGTAAAATGTTAGGTTAGGTGATCAGTAGCGTATCATTTTCAAGGGGTCACAATAACAATTAAACTTCGTATCTTAGACAAACAATCTTGTCTAAGGTACGCATTAATTTTAAATCAATGCCCCTGGTTTTTTGATTTATTAATATTGTACAATAATTGTGAGGAAACAGATGCCCCTGACAAAGCATTTCTATGCAACTGTCCCGATCACTGTAAACAGTAACCACTTGGGGATAATTTATTAACCGAAACGATTTAGGTGGAAAACATATTTATTTATAGAATGAAGGTATTTATTTTCTCAAAATTGTTTATAATTTTTATATTGTAATGTTCACTATGTATTTTATTGTCAATAAATTATTTATCTAAATAAGTCATCATCCTCGTCAAAACTGTGGTCTCCGAGGTGAATTATTAGTTCCGAAACTTTGTCCATTATTCTTTGCCGCTGGAACCACTCCTCAGTAAGGCTAAGTGTCTGGTTCTAAATATACAGCACTTTGTTGTCGCTATAGCTCTTACCCCCTGGATACAATTTAATGGGATCAGGGGACCCCATCGTCCAGTTCCCTAAGTTAAGCACAAATCACTGCTGTTTTCCATCTAACCGATTTCCGGGCATTCTGATCAGAATCTTACGGATTTTTGCTAAAATCGAATACTGAAACACTAATTTCATTATAAAAGTACCTTATTTGATGCAAAAAAACTTAAAAATGATAGAAATATATAAATGTAAATGTCAACTACAAATATTAAATGTCGATGAAGAACGCCGCTGAGCACGTCACAAAAAACAAACCTCTCCAACCACAAACTAATGCGCTCTGTCCTTGTTTAACACACGCTGCGTGAGCGTAACATCGAACTCACGTTCGTCCGAGAACCGAGTGATTGTGCCCTAACCTAGGAGTTCCTTGGATACGAAAAAGAAAACAACAATGTCTGTGCTTGGCGTGACATTTCATTTTGGTGAGGCAGAGGCAGGGTTTCGCCCTCATTTAAGGGCGAAGAAATTTTTTTAAACCCAACTTAAAAAAACTGACGTCGCAGTTCACAACCTATACTTAAAGCTAAGTAAAAAACTTAGACTGTGGTGGGGAAGGAATCCTCTACTTCGTCAATGAAATATATTTTATTGTAAAAATGACGTTTATTTTAAATAAACCTCATTTTTGTCTAATTTATATTTTATTGTTCAGCAAGAACCACGTGAAGGTGTAGAGGTAAAGTGCAGCATTATTAATATAACCATTAGGTTTAAGCCCTAATCATTAAATTAATAATAGTACACCATCTTGCCGGGAAAAAGGGAAACTGGGAAGCGGAACTGAAGGGAAGTAAGGGGAACTGGAGAGAAAAAAGGGATAAATGAATTGCGTATAACTAAAAACTAAAACTAAATTATCCTTATAAAAATGGGAACAGTGCGAAACAATCAACAAAATAAATATAACTCTTATAAATAACCAATAAAATAAATATTACTGATATAAATAACCAACACAATAAATATAACAAAGTCGACAATATCGGTACAATTTCTCACCGTAATATCCATAATGACTAAATTCACATAATTTACCAAGTTCAATTAACTAAACCCACAGAATAAACCACTTACAAAAGAATTATAAAATAGACAAACTCATAGAAAAAGAATAAACAAAATATTCCGTAAATAACCACAGATTTGTTCTTTAAACAGTTCAGAATTTTATAACCAAAACAAACCTAAAGAAGGAATCTGTATTTATTTTATTGGTAACTATGATGGCTACAAGATGGCGATAGTGTTAAAATATGTTTATTTTAGAATAGAAATATACTTAACTTAGATTAAAATTATATCTAAAATTCCGCAACAGTGTTGCCACAACACTTGCTTATTTCCTTGGATGTAGGCGTGCCTCCCTCGCGTATGATAATACGAGAGAAGGAGACAACTATGATATCGCATTGTAATAGAACGAAATAACAAGGCTAACGCCAATCGTGAGTCTAAATTAGTTCAGGCATGCTTCTGAGCCAATCATCTAGCTATAAATATTAGTTTAAATTGCGGTCGTTTCAAATTCAAATAATTTAAATGTTGCAATTTTATTGACTATTTCACAATTCATGTAATCCAAATATTAAAAATTTATAGTATATTATAGAAAGTAAAATATTTAAATTATAGGTACCTAATTTTTTAATTCTTTATGATGAGGCACTGCCTCACCTGCCTCCCCTGATGGGCCGCCACTGGTGCTTGGTTCAGAATTTGATGACGCAATTATAAACATTCCCCGCGACGACTATAGTTTCATAAAAATAAAATATTTTGACATTATAAAGGTGTCATTCTGCTTTCTATTTGAACTAAGCAACGATGGACATCTCCATACAAAAAGGTTCTAAAATATATATATTCGAAATTCACAAAATCGGTAGGAAATCTTTTGTTTATTATTTATCGTTAAAACAATGAAAAGAATTTCGTTGTTAAAATTATTTAGTAGTGAAATTGCCTGTAGTTGATAAACTACAATATATGAAAAATGTTTGGTAAGATGATTTTAATGTTTATTTAAAGCTAACACTAAAAAATTTATAGGATAATAAAAATATTGCAAAATACCTTAATGAAAATTATTTCAATAAATTTGATACTCCCTGTATAAAATTTTATCTGGATATTAGGAAATCAAATAATAATAAAAATTTCATTTAATCATAATCACAGGAATTTTTTGTTTCGGCAGCTTATCCAATAATAAAGGTAGTTTGTCAAAATTTAATAAACTATTGTCGATTTTCGCTTTTTCTTTGAAATAAAGTGTTTTAAAAAATTAACAAATTATTTAATCTATTTCATATAAACCAATAATAAAATCTTTTTTTATCAATTTTATGATATTTAAACCCAGCTTTATATAAAAATAGTGTTTTATGCGGTACCCTCTTTAACAGCAGATTAAATAATCTATTAACATTGATCGATAAAATAATAATTTAAAATTTTATTAACTAAAAAATCAAATATTTTAAGTATTTCTTTATCTACATAGTTTTAATAAAATGCTCTTAATACGACCCTGATTCCTAATATAATTTATATTTATCTTACAAATTCGTTTATTTGTGTGTAGATATGTTTAAGTTGCCACTTATTTTGTTTTTGAATGCTGTGTTCTCTACAGATGGAACGGATTCTCCAATTATTGGTGTGTTGTCACAAGAAACTTATTCCATTAGAAAGTACTTAAAAGACGAAGAATCGGCAAAAAGTTTTATTGCGGCTTCCTATGTAAAATATCTGGAAAGTGCTGGAGCTCGAGTTGTACCCATATGGTAAGCACGTTTGGGAAGTATATATCTGTTTTACTAATATTTTTTAAATATTAAATTTTTATTTAGTTAACACGTTTAAAAGGCTAAAATAAAAAATACGTTACATTTTTGTTTTGTATTGAAAGGAAAACATATCAAACAATGTTTTTGGTTATTTAAGATAAGTTGTTTATGTTTTAATTTGATAAGAATTACTAAAATTAAAAATTGTTTAATATAATATATAATATATATATTATTATGTAAATTTAATACCAAACCTTTTTGTTTAAGGGCAAATGATTTGATTTAAATATACATTGTTAAAAGGAATTTTAAAAAAAATTCAATTTCCAAATTTCAAATGAAATACAAGATTAATCGTTTGAAAGTATTTACTGTCAAGGGATAAAAAGAATGCACTTTTCTCGACCAGCAGCAAATAAAGGATATACTGTTAAAAAAAGATTTATAAGATAGGGGGTCATGACAATATTGTATTACCCAGATAGCACCATTACCCAGATAGCACCATTCGTCCAATGGACGTCCGTTTAAGATCCATTTTAAGTACATTGGTCCACGGACTAAAAATGGATGTACTATGTACGACGTACATTGTACGTCCATATATTTACATCCTTTGTACGATTTTAATGGGCGTCCATATAGTGTCCATTTTACGTCCATAATTATTATTACAGAAATGCAAGTTAAAACGTATTGTTGGCTGCATAACAACAGTTATGATCAATATCACTGACATTCAAGCAAGCGCGTGCTATAAAGGACTTAAGCTATCAATGAAATGTTAAACACTTGTAGTATTGTTCCTGAGTCGAATACAAGGATTTTAACAACTTTTAGAATATTTATATTCCTAGTGGGATTGTTACTGGGCCAGACAAAAGGCATTTCAGTCATGTTGTAGAAAATTTTCTGCAACATCGCAATGAAAATACAGTCGCAAAAAATAGTTAAAGTAAGCAAAAAGCAGGTTTGGATGCTGGAGGAATGGTTCAAACACCTGGACGACTTATGGATGTCCAAAGTTGTGACATCTGGACTCTAAACGGATGTCCATGGGACGTCCATAGAAAAAAAATGGACATCCTATGTACATACAGACGTCCACGAGCATACGTCCATTGGACGTCCATAGTATACCTTTGTGCTATCTGGGTATACCTACCTATTATACATATATATTCTCATACCTATTATACATATATAATATATATTATAAATTCTCACCTACTTTTGAAATAGCCCCCTTTTGATTTGTCTGAAATTTTTATATTTTACACTAGTGTAGTTACCCCAATAAAAACCTTTTATTATTTTTTTTATTCCATCGATATTTTTTAAAGTGCAGTTATTGAATGAATAATTAATAACTTCTTTTGTTTTTAGACTTTAGAAATAAATACAAAAAATATTCAGTTTACCAAAAAAACTAGTTTGTCTCATAGTGAGACAAGTTTTCTGTATATTTTTTATTATTTTTTCGCAATCTAACATTGTTTTTATAATGAAATAAATTAAAATAAATTTGTATATGGCATTTGCGAAAATAAACGCAGATTATTTAAATCAAAGTTATTATCGAAAAAAAAGCGAACTAAAAAATTATTAAAAAAAAAGAATTTTGTATGACTAAGTATTCCACTCATGCATTGTTGTAACAATGTAACAGCCTACTGACAGGTACTGAATTAATAAGTATAGAATTTGATGACGCAATTTGAAACATTCGCCGCGACAACTATAGTTATATTTTTGTTTTAACAAATTTCCTATTTTTTATATTTTTAGTAGGTAGGTATTTTTACTCTAGAAATATTCTTCCTAAATACCACTTGTGCTTAAAAATGAATCAGATAATTTTTATTTAAGCTTGTTCCACTCGTTCTTCGAAATCTTGAAATTATAACTGCGCTTTCATGGAAATTAATAATTTCAAATTATAAATTATAAATTATTACTTTTTAAGCACTCGTGGTATTACCTCCGAATATTTTTTTAAAATGTCAGATTAAAACTTTTAAAATTTGGAAAAAAGCCCCATTTTTGTAAGTTTCGTTTGGATGAAAAAAATAAAAAATTAACAAAAAAGTTTTTAGTGGGGTAGTCATATGACATTAAAATTTTAGCCAAATCGGGTTCAAAGGTGTATTGTATCTGATAAGTAAAAATGGTGGCCTACGTATCTAAAAGGGTTGGCCACCCTAGCCACGCTTCTGTACACGGCCACTAATAATTCTCGTCAATAGCAATTTGTATGCCAAACATCTAGCAGTCAATTTCTATGTCAAATTGTCCCCTAAATCCGAAAATTTTGTCAAAAGGTAGGAAAGAAAAACAGTTTTTGAGATAGTCAATTTTCCATATAATATGGAATTGATCATAATATAGATATTATCTTAAAAACTGCTCTACTTTTATAATTTTGGACGGTATTTTTGGATTCAGGAGACAATTTTACATAAGAATTGGCTGTTAAATGTTTGGGATACCATGGTAACCCATGGTTAACCATGGTTTAAGTGAAAAAGCAGTCACTAATAACTGTAGTAATTAGTCATTTTTGACTAATTCATTTTTAGAGAGCACGCCATCCAATAAGGATGTACCATTTTAAACTACACGGGTTGACCTATACTTTTATGTAGTTACACGAATGCACAGCGCGTTTAAATAGTTAAGTTTTTTTTAATTAAAATGGTCCGTTCATTTGACAAACTTGCCGCGTTTTGCGTCGTGTTTATTGTCCCACAAAGAAAAAAATTCTACGTTTAATACGAAATTTGACTGGGTCAGTAATTGATTAGATAATGCCAGTACATTAACGCCGTTCTATTTAAAACTTTTTTAGAATTAACCCACCTACAATCTGCCAAAGTTTGTTATAGACCTTGTAGAACACCTGTCTAAACAATTAATCATTTTTTTTTTAATTTTAGGATAGGACAAGAGCTGGACTATTATGAAAGACTCATTAATTATACAAATGGGTAAGTTTTATTGAATTACGAAATCTCAAACTAAAATGCGTGTTTTTACCTATAATATAGATATATTTTATGTTTCTTTTCAAGTAACTCTTCTGTAGCGTTACCTAGGTAACGTGGAATAAAAAAATAGACACAATCGATTGAAACCGGACAAAATCTCTATCTTTAAAATTAATGCACAGTTTATTGCTTTAAAGTGTACTGATTTCTTGCTTACCGCTGCCAAACCTATTACTAAAAATTAATTTATCCCATTTTACAAAACCAATTCAAAATATTAAAAAATGTTACCTGACAATTTTAGTGCAATTTTTCCCGGAGGCGCCACATACTTTACCGAACCTAAGGGTTATGGAGAAACGGCCAGTATTATATATAAGCTTGCCGTGGAAGCAAATAAGAATGGAAAATATTATCCACTGTGGGGAACATGTCTTGGAATGGAGGTGTTTGCATTTGCCATCTTAAACGAAGATATAAGAACTAATTGCGATCTTCATAAAGTTGCGGTTCCAGTACACTTCGTAAACGGTTAGTAAATTCCAAGATGTACCTGGGCAGGTTTTAACTTTCCTAAATTTGTTTAATAATTATAAAAAAAGGCATTGTTGAAAAAGTAATAAATAAATCGTATAAACCTGATTAAAGCTAAAAATAAAAAGTGCTGCCTTAAAAAGCTGTAATTTTTTATTAGTTTTTTAAATGGTGCAGATTTAAAATCAATTCATAGCTTGAAGAGCTTTTCGTATTAAAAGGAAGGACAAAAAAAAATAGATCTGAAACTGTTTTATGAATTTATTATAATTTTCCAAAAAATATTTCTTTTTAAGTTAATTTGAACCTATACTAACAAAACCTTTTATCGAAAGATTTTATATTTGTAAAAAAAAATAGTTTGAAACTTTTAGATTTTGCTTCCCGTTTTTAGTGACCTTTTAAAATTCTTAAAGAATAGGTAAACAGGCATGTATTATCATATTGTCTATAGCCCAGCAGAAGAATAGCGGGAGAGACAAAATATTTTTTTTCATACAAAAAAATTTAAAAAATCATCTTTATGAGTATGAGTATAAGAGACGTATAACCGGCCCCATTGCCTCATCGCTCCCGGGCCCCGCATAGGCCTCTGTTTCCTTGAGCCGATTTTCGTTGCGAATGTCCATTGCGTCCCGTACTGCCCCCTAATTAGGTCTCGAGAGCGAATTGCCAATAGTTTTAGTAGCCATTTCCGGGTTCGCCGAGCCGGTGCTATACGCCCAGTAGGGTCATGAAGGAGGTAGGACGGGAGGGATAGACAGTTTGGTGTTTGGGGGACAATTACGCCGACTTAAATCTAAGTACGACGCGGAACCCCCCTAGACCAGGCAGTTAGTATTACTCCAAACATTTGGGATTACTGTATGGAGTTCGGGAGTTGTTATTTTGCTGCTGAAGCCTAAGTCTTGGTCTACGTTTTTGTCGTTACTGTTCGTGTCCAAGTAGGATTGTTCCTGCACGTGTCTTCAGTCTTGAGGCCGAAAACCATTAATAGATAGTTCAGTAGTTGGATATGTAACTTGTAGCTTTTGATGTTTTTTAATTGTTTATTGCCGCAGTAGTGCGAAATTTCTAACAATTTTTTAGTTATTGTGTTTCCCAAGCACGTTTTGTGGTAGAATTGTTTTGTCTTTATTTCTTAATTTTCAAAATTAAGTATTACATTTATTAGTTGAACAAATGACATGCGCAATTATTCTGTTATAATCTAATGTGTTTACAAATCTAATAGTTGAGTGTTAGTGTATGTTCTAAATGTCAAATGTTTATTATTGGTCTCGTTTGGGTTAAAATTAACGTTATTTAAGTTACTGGGTTTCATGCATTACGCATTTGTTGTTGACAGATTTATTGTCCTACTCAGCTTTGGTGTATTACCGCGCTAGTTCGATTGGGAAGTTTTGTTTTTTGTTGTTTGTCTTTTTCCTTTATTATTTTATGGTGTTTGGTTAGTATTGCCTTTCTAATGTTTCTATTGTTACTGATGTTTATTGTTTTTTTTTCTAGAGTTTAAGCAGTGTGCCTTTCTTAGGGTTTTAAAGGTATCTGTCGTTTAATTTTGTAAATTATGTGTTAGGTCATGCATATGCTTAAGGATACTTATCAATTTTTTGCGGATGGCCACTTCCCCTCTTGTTTGACCTCTTTTGTTTGTCTAGTGAAAAGCGTCCAATGACAGGTGGTATACATATATAACCAGAAGCTGAAACTTGTCACTTAACTCATTCATATCACTTAACACTTCACTCTTTATTGACCGTTACACTATTTTAGTTTGCACTTTATGAAAATTGTTTGTTTTACTATAATTGGTTTGCACTTAAAAAAAAAATTATTGTTGGTTTTAATCTTTAAACTTTTACGTTTTAAGAGCTCTCGCTACAGTGCGTCGTGCCTTCTCAAGTGCTGGAACCTGACTGATGTAAAGTTGTTATGTTTATATAAAAATTGTATGTTTGTCATTTTTCTTTATTATTTTATGGTATTTGGTTAGTATTGTCTTTCTAATGTTTCTATTGTTACTGATGTTTATTGTTTTTTTTTCTAGAGTTTAAGCAGTGTGCCTTTTTTAGGGTTTGAAAGATATCTGTTGTGTTTAATTTGCAGATTATGTGTTAGGTCATGCATATGCTTAAGGATACTTATCAATTTTGGCCACTTCCCCTCTTGTTTGACCTCTTTTGTATGTCCAGTGAAAAGCGTCCTATGACAGGTGGTAGGACGAAGCTGAAACTTGTCACTTAACTCTTTCTTATCACTTAACACTTCACTCTTTATTGACCATTACACCTTTATGAAAATTGTTTGTTGGTTTTAAACTTTAAACTTTTACGTTTTAAGAGATCTCGCTGCTACAATGCGTCTGGCCTTGTCAAGAGCTGGAATCTGACAAAAAAATTTAAAAAATTATGTTTATCTAAAAAAATTATTTGCTCTCTGCTTTTGCTGAACAGGCTTTTTATCTTGAATCTGCACTATACAGATAATAGATTCATTGAATTAATAGAAATAATTTGGATTTAAAACAGTGTATCTTTGTTAATAAAAGATATCTAAAACATGGAAAGAATCCTTGCGATTGTTAGTTTTGTGCAGGTATTTTTAATAAAAATATTGATTCCTGAGACGATAAACCCTGAATTGCCCATTGTAGCAGGACTGACATATTTTTTCATAGGGAAATACCCCGCTTCCAATATGGAGCGTTTTGCTTTAATAAATATTCTTAAACTCTTTAGCATCACGCAGTTAAACAGACCTTGTTCTCGCAACCGTTTTCTTGCCATCCTATAGGATGTTATAACATTAATATCCACCATTAAGATAGCATATTCTATATCAATGTTTTTTTCTTTGGCTTCAAATGAGTTTTACCTCAATTATTCAACTAACTCATTAAGGTTTACTGGAGTTGTAACCACTTTTTGTTTAATTTTTAAGTCGCGCTTTTGCAAAGCTTTGCTGCAATTTATTTAATTTGTTATGCGTTGTTGGGACCTTCAATTTTGGCGATAACATAGATGACTATTCTTGATTGGATAATATTATGATTAATACACCGAAAAAAATAATGTAGTTGAGTTAACATTTGCCTAAATGTCATTTTTAAAAATGTTGTTTCAACAAAAAACCTATTGGATTAATCTATATTTTGGTGTTAAAGCAAAAGTCAGAGTTTGTCAAAGTTTATTTGTTCATTTGACAGTTTAAATATTAATTTAACATAAACTAATATTTTGAATTAAAATGTTTATCATACTTTGATTTAATAGCTGTAATTTGTTGAATCAACTACTGAAATTTTTAGGATTACCTAAAAAAACTATTAAATTAACGTTTAGTTGCTCTTTAATCCAAAACTTTAAATTTGTTCATTTAACAAATTTAAAATGTTACTTTAAAATTTAAAATGTAAAATTTGCATTCATAAAATTGCCGAGAATGGCGCTTCGAACACTCACGCCACGTCATTAGACAATGACGTTTTCATACATCTCGCCTTAGTTAGCTTACGATTAGGTGTATATATATAAGATGAGATATCTGTTTGTTTAAGGTGTGTTCCACAGTAGAACTTTCACTACACCATATTGCCCGACACTGTTAAGACCCTCAATACAGGGCGAAACAGTCTGTCGGTATTTGAAGTAGGTGGAACACATGATACAAAGATGTATCATGGGTGGAACACGCTCAAAACAAAAACTCTGGGCGAGGTGAAGGTTCAATTCTTTCTATTTATATATAATAATATATTATTTCCATAATTTTGTTTTGGATACCAACCTTTAAAGAATTTTACATTTTCAGAATGTTAATTTAACATTTTATTGGTGTTAAGTGAATATGCTAAAAAGGTTACCTGGACATTTCAAGAAATTTACCTTAACACCCTAAGAATGTTAAATTAACCAAATTAGCAGATTAGAACAAATATTCTTATTTTGTTCATTTGACTGTTATTTGTTGTTCAATTAAACAATACAATTTGACATTTTTAGATGGTTAAGTAAACGTGCAAAAACCATTGCTTGTATTTAAAGTGCATAAAGAGTTGAATTAATATTTTTGTTGTTGTTTCAACAGCTTATTTTTTTCAGTGTATGTCACTGATGAGAAGTACTGAGCTTAACCCCCGTATCTGCATTAATAATAAAAAAAGATAGTTTTTATTGTTTTTAACAACGAAAATGATCGTTTGTGCTTTAATACTTAATTTTGTACATACGCTTGACAGAGCAGCATAGTTACAACGGGAAAAATGTATACACACTGCCCGTCAAAATTAACGCATAATAAGTAAAAAAATTCTAACTCTAAAACGCCTTTACCAATCTTTATGAAATTTTGTATAAAAATACTTCAACTTATATCTCAGTTTACATGTTCGAGGGTTTTTCGAGAAAATATTTTTAAAGCCCTTTTATTTAATAATACAAAAAACGTTCAAAAAATAACTTTTAGTGATTTTTTTTTAACTAAATTAAAAATATGCTGTTAAAGACCGTATTTTTGTTAATATACCCTGAAAATTTTTAACAAATCAAACGAACAGTAACGAAGATACAGCGCTTCAAAGTCGGTAAATTGATTATATTGCTGAAAAATGGTCATTTTTGACGAATTTTAAGCGCTTTATTTTCGTTACTGTTCGTTTGATTTTTACAAAATTTTCAGAGAATACTAACAAAAATACGGTCTTTCACAATATAGTTATAATTTAATAAAAAAAATTTCTCTATAAAATTTTTTTTTCGAGCGATTTTTATTATTAAATAAAAGGGCTTTAAGGATATTTTTTCGAAAAACCTTTGAACACCTAGACTGAGATATAAGTTGAAGTATTTTTATACAAAATTTCATAAAGATTGGTAAAGGCGTTTTAGAGTTAAAATTTTTTTACTTATTATGCGTTAATTTTGAATGGCAGTGTATATACATTTTCCAATAGTGTTTCTACCAAAAAAAGTAATCGACTGATTTTCCCGTTGTAAGTATGCTGCCCTGTTAAGCCAAACCCCCGTATGTACATGTCATTCGACCAAATATTTTTTTAGGGTGTGATCCCAGCGAATTTAAAAAAAATTCTTTACATCACAAAAGTAGTTAGGTACTTTCGTAGTTATAATTTTTTTAATTTTGACGATATTTTTTTAAAAACTTTCATTTTGAAACTGTTTTTGCCACTTATATTAAGTTAAAAAATATATAATTTTGATAACTTTTAAATGCATTTTATGCATTGTTTTTATTATATTCTACAAAAAATAAAGGAACTTAGTTAATTAACTATGAAATTTAATTTAATCTGCGTAAACCTATTGGATGGAAAATTTTGTTTACCATTGGAATCCTTTAATTAGAAGTATTATTGTTATTAAAATATAATTTTCAATAATATGTTTGTTGAAATATCTTATGACCAAAAAACACATCAAGGTCTTTCCTACGTCACGATTTTGTATATATAATTTTCCACCAGTAATCCACTCATAATTATTTGTTATTCATATACATTATTATGGATTAAATTGAGCCATCTTGGTACGGCAAAAGCAAATTAAATAATAATCTAGCAGATTAAACGAAAATAGCCATAAACTTGTTTTCGTCTTGAGTTAGGTCGTGGAAACAAATTACCGTTTCTAAAGCTTAATATGTCTTGTCTCTCGACAAAATACTTTGGTATAGGTTAGTTAGAACATATTAATATTTATATCTAAATATTTAAGTCTGTTAAGTCTTGCATAATATTGTTTCAGTAAATTAACATTATAAATCCCCTGCCTAACAACGGGAATAATGAACTCATTATTCAAGTTGTTAGGCATCAGTGATTGGTTGATTTTAATATTTACTGTGATTTAAGGCAATTGGGTTTTCAATTGGTAGAAGTCGACTATAATAACATTTAAAATTAGTAAAAATTGACAGATACCAGATATTGTTTATTTATTTTTAAAAATCATTTAATAATCTACTTATTGGAAAAGTTACAGAATAGACCCCTTAAATAAAGTATAGAATTTTCAGTCTCTCGTCTGGCGACTATAAACGCAAACCTCATCCTCATGAATAATAGCCTGCATTATCTCCCGAATAATAATACTATGTGGGTATATATTGAGATGTCCCCCAAGTGAAAATTATCATTTTTTGTTGTTGTTTCACTGTTAGTCTAGGATGGGGTTTTTAGGTTTTTTTAAAACATCCCTTTGTATATTTAATAAGTTATTGTATCTTTTGAAACCTTAATATTTTTTAAAAATACAATTGTACATACCTAAAATATTTATAAAAATATCTACTTACTGAGATATTACACTTCACGGTGAATAGGTTTTTAAATAGCAAATTAATGAATTTAAACTTTTGAATTATAAAACAGCAACACTCTCATCTGCATATAAATTCTAACTGACCTTCATCACATGCATCTATAATGTCGTAAACGCAGGTTTTTGCTTATTTAAAATGATTAAAGCGCCATTCGTTGCATAAAATTTAAAGAAAAAAACAGATTCACGGAGGATATAATCAATTTTTGTAACACCTACATAAATAGTTATAAAATTTAATTTAATTTTTAATAATATTTTATATTTGATTCCATTGCTTTGGATGTGTTTAATTTACTTACTGAACTGATAGTTTTATTACGCTTTTACTACCTCAGATATTTGAAAACATATAGTTTAACATAGAAAGAGTAACAGTCACGGAGGATAGGTTTTAGACTTTTAAAACATTGTTAAAAATAATTAATTGCGGTTAAAAATCTGGAACCTGAGCTGTAATATCTACTTAATTAGGAAAGATCAAAACACAATAAAAGTGTAGGTCAAACTCATTTAGTTTTATTAAATATCACGGGGTAAAACCATCGGGGGACATTTCGTGAGATTCATCCATGTATTAACTGTAAAAAAACAACTTTTTAGGACATTTTGTTTAATTCTTTAGCTGTTGAAGTTTTGGAAACTTTTAAACGATGCCTAAGACACTAACATCGGTTGCCCAGTGTACTCATCCTATCTTGTCAAAAATCACCCTATCTATTTTTAGAAACGGTGAAACTTATTCCTTGATATTCAAATTTTTATGATACAATTAATACAAATGTTTTGTTTTAGGTTATGAAAATAGTAAATTATTATCCCAGACACCACAAGAAATCATTCAAATTCTAAGAACAAAAAATGTAACATACAATTATCATCGATATTGTTTAACTGAAGCCGTGATTAAGAAGCATGGATTAGATAAGGAATGGAAAATTCTATCAACAAACAAAGACGAACATGGCGAAGAATTTGTTTCCATGATGGAATCCACGAAACAACCATTTTACGGGGTCCAATTTCACCCAGAAAAAAGCCCATTCGAGTTTAAAAACAATTACGGAATTCCACATTGTCGCGATTCCATCAGGGTTGCTCAGTATTTTGCAAATTTTTTTGTAGACGAGTGTCGAAAAAGTAAAAATAATTTTCCTGACAGTAATTTGGAAAAAATATCGCTTATTTATAATTATCAAACTACGTATACTGGGCTGAATGGTAGTAGTTATGAACAAATTTATTTCTTTACACAAGAAGACTTTAATAAAAATCAACTAAAATAAACGTTTTTATTAGAAATATATTTTATTTATTTAATTTAAGTTTTATTTCCTTTCCCTTTAGAGTAGTTCTCCTCATATTAAAATCGATTGAAAAAGTTATTTTTGCTCTTTTTTTAAACAATAAATTTTGTTATTTTAAATCAGTTAATATTATTTAAAGAAAGTAGATAATTATAATTATCTACTCTTTAAAAATGAATTAGTTAAAAATGACTAATTGTCATGGCGAAAAACCAGCCACTAATAATTCTTGTCAACATCAATTTGTAAAATTGTCCGCTGACTCCAAAAATGTCATAAAAAATGTCATCAAAATTAGTACGATATGTAACTATATCTTAAAAACTGCTCTACTTTCATAATTTGTAAGTGTCTTTTCGGATTTAGGAGACAATTTTACTTGCGAATTGGCTGTTAAATGTCCAGGATAAAAATTGCTGTGGACTACATTTATCAGTGACTGTTATTTTTGACTAATTAATTTTTAGAGAGTTTAAAATATTACAATAGGTATAAAGAATTTTAGGTCAGGAAGACTGAATACAGGGGAAGTAACTTGTGGGAGCACGCAAAAACGTAACCTTTGTATGCGCACTCAATTTGGCATAACATATGTATGTGATGCGCTTCAAAAAACGACCCTTACGTCCAAAAAAATTTTCGAAATAATGATTGTTTTAGTATATTTATACACATCTTTCGAAAAGACCAATAATGATTTGGTATCTCAAAAATTCACTGTCACGAAGTTGAGCCTATTCTGCGCGTTATTCAATCGCCTGCTGTCAAATTGTATCTTTGGACCTAAGGTTCGTTTTCTCGGAGCGCGCCACATATTATGAAATATGGTCGAGAGTTATTCCTTGCCTAGGTCTATACTAGAGTTAAGCAAAAATATGATTTTACGATCGCAGTTTAAACTCCGATTGTCAGTCACTGCGATTGCGATTCAGTAATTTAAAATTGATGAATCGGATTATTCCAATACAAGATAAATGGAATTTGAGAATATCACAGGATTTAGGTGAAACTACCTAAATGTAAATTTCTATTCAATGTAAAATAAAGTTTAAAGGTTTTTTATGTACATTTATAAAAATCAGATTTGTTAATTTTATTTTGTAAAATTTTAACATATTTTTTTGTATAAAATCAGAATTTGTAATTATTTTAACAAAGGAAAATAGTTTTGTAAAGGTAATATGCAATTTTGTAAGTATTTTGTTAATTTCATAGGTGACAGATTATTTTATTAATGTTTATCAAATTATTTCGTTGAAAAAAGGACATGTGATTTCAGGCAGTCAATCAAAACATTTCCTACTGACAATACGCATCAACAAGTTCAACTGACTTCAACGACTGCAACTTATGTTTCTGCTTACCTTATTCTAATTCATAACGTGTTTGTAACAACTGTCCAGAGTGTTTATAATATATTACCAGAAATCTGTTATAATTGTTATTTTGATTCCTTATACCTACTTAACGAGAGTGCGAATTGCGAAGTATCCAAAAAAAAGCCATCACTGGTTTTCAAACTAAAATTCCCCTATACAGGAAAGTGGGTTAAAGTTACGAAATACATCAGTAAGTGTTGTAGTAGTACTAATAATTAAATTGTACCAAATTTCTTTATAATTTGATGTTTTCAGAATGATGCGTTTTTTAATAGTGTGTATGTTATTTTTTGTTTATTTATGTAGGTACATATGTGTTAATTTTTCCTTTTTAGGAAGTTGATAAATAAGTGAAGATGGGATATTTAGGTACTAAAAACTGAAAAATAGGTAACTAAAAAGGTACTAAAAGAAAATCATTTTAGGTTAAAAAAACAGCATTTTAGGTAAAAAAAACATTAAAAGTTCAAGTTTCGTTTATAATTTTGTTTAGCCGCATACCCAAACACAGAACATACCCACAATAAACTATTTCTATGCAATAAACTGTGTTTCACTGAGTGACACTCACTACACAGAAGTTCTATGACAGAACATAAGCTCACTAAAAATAAGGTAACTGTAAGGAAAGTTACTGTTATATTTTGTGACCATAAGAAAAAATTCTATACCGTTGAGTTGCACGCCCTGGATAAAATATTGGCGGAAAATTTAAAAAGAACACAAAAAATAAATAAGTAAAAATAGATAACAAAAGTATAATAAAATAACTTAAATCCCATCCCTATTAATAAGGCAACATTTCTTATTAAAATTCTTTTCATTTAAGATCCCATGTTTACAAATACTTTTTCTTACTACCTCGGCCGAAAATACGTTGTTTCGTCCCCGATTCCAAGGCAGAAAGTTTACGTTTGATGCATTGGTCAAATTTACGTTTGATGCATTGGAATCGGGGACGAAACAACGTATTTTCGAGTATATTACACTACAAGGGCTACGAAGGCTTCACTCGTGCCGCAAATGTCGGGGCAGGCATCAATATGTTTCGATATACATTTAATTTTTTCCCGTATTTTCGGCCGGGTTGGGTTGGGTTGTATTTTCGGCCGGGTTTAATTAAATTATTTCTTAGGATTCTGTCACATCATTTTAAGGTTAGGTTCAACTTGTAAGCGTACAAACCCCCCCCAGCAAAGAATCTGTAAAAGTTACACCCCAAGTGATAAAATGAAATATAGCACCACGGCAAATGTTACTTTAAATTACGACAAATAAATAAAATTAATACTCACGGTAATAACGCTCATTAATTTAGTAACCCAATATACTTTTGAGGTGTTGTATTCATGGGGAAAGTATTTAAGGGGAAATTATAAATACAGTAAATAAGGGAAAGAAAGGGACATCATACAAACCATTAAAAGCACATAATATCTCCTTAATGCGACCATAACCCATATATAATATAAATAAATAAATAAATAAATACCATTAGATAACTAATACACCATACTAGAGCTCAGCTGTCGTATGTGTTCCTCGTTTTCATTTTTAATTTGTTTGTTTGCTTATTTGTTGGATAAAAGTAGATTGAGTCTTAGTCTCTATTTTTGTATTTTAAATTTAACCTTATCCGACAAGTATTCCATCTGCATTAGGCCTCTATCATCAAGTTTTTATAATTATTTACTGTTGAATTGAAGTTTACTTTTACATAATTTTTCATGTAATATTTATTAGAGTTTAGGCTCAATCGACTGTTAGAATAAGGAGTAAATAAATTATCAGGCTCCCTCACTTGTCGGCAAACTTTAATAAATTAATAATTACCATAAAATACTAGGTAGGTAATCAAAACGCACAAATAAAAACAACAATTGCGTCGCGCAGTCAGATGAAACGAGACCGTCCGGCACCTAATAAAATTTACAGGTTAGTAATTCAAAATGGGCTTTTTGTATCAGGACTCCACGGACAGTGGTGATAAATTAAATGTTGCTGCTCACTCCAAACGTAATACCAAATAATTAAATATGACTGGTAAAATCACTTAGCTAATTACGGGACATAAATGTGAATCTGAGTACAATTTAATAAATCCCGTAATCAAGAAAATCGATATCAATTACACTTAATTTACACAGCGTTTATGGTAAATCCCCTTTAAGAACTATATATTAAAATAATTAAATAAACTCAAATACAATCCTGACATTTAGCTAGATAAAATCCAGTACAACCCTGCCCTTTTAATTAGATGAAATCCCGTACAACCCTGCCCTTTTAATTAAATAAAATAAAGTACCAATTGTTTAATATTTAGAATCTAAATTATAATACGAGATAGTTTAAACGTATATTTATTTCATGTCGATTACAAACGTTGTATATTTAAAACTGCAGCCAACATGGCGGAATAGACCGATCGATGACGCCAAGTCAAATGATCCAATATTTATCTTTACACAGAGCATTTGTGTAAACTAATTATACTAAAATGCTCGGGAATATTTATACTACAATAATTTAGTTATTTAAAATGTACAAACCTACAAATTTAAGACACTATTTTTTCACACCCTTTTTAACAGTTGTTTGCTACACAAGTTTCATTGCACCGGTTTTAATCGAATGATCTCCCAGTGTTGCCAATGGTGTTGACATAATTTACACACAGATTCTCTCAAAATTCCACAATTTTGCCAACTGAGGAGCATTCGTGCAAAACCGGCTATATCTATTTTAATAAAATGTTGGGAAAATGGCAAAAACTCCCGTTTGCTGGCCTCACGAACCCATCTTGATAAATAGTTATTTGTATTACAAGTGTTGAAAAGCGACTTTTTCATGCAAGTGTTTAAGTTGCTCACGAGGCAGTTAGGCCGAGTGTGCATCAACACGAGCTTGAAGAAAGCTTTTCTCACATGTGAAACACAATATTTTTTCTACGACCCTTTTATTTTTTGTTATTTTAAAATACAAAACAAAATAACCTAAAAACGTGTTTGACAGCTGTTAAAATTACTTTCATCTTATTCTTTTAATTTTTAAGGTATAAGTTACTTAAAATCCATAAACTTACCTTTTCAATTTATATAAAGGCACTAAAAATTAGAATTTAGTATACAAACACAATTAACTATGTTTTAAATGATATTTAGACATACATATACAAATACAATAAAAATTTTGAAACGAATGTCAAACCATAGAAAAAGGATGCTGTCAATTTTTTTTCACACAGACCTGTCACTTTTCACACAGAAATGTCACTTTACATTCGTGTTTTGCCTTGCCAATGAAAAGATTCATTTTCTAAGCAACGATGCGATTACGAAATGTGACTTTTACATAGTGGTCGTAGAAAAAAGTATTTTTGTATAAGGAATCAACTCACAAGCGATGGCACATGTGTTTTAAAATTCCCTGTATAAAAACAAAAATGTTTTTTTAAATTAACAAAAAACGTACCTATGCATTCACAAGGCTTTAATAATTTATTTTGACAATATTTAAGTTTCTTGTATTGAGCCAAATCGCACGTGTTTTTATTTGAAAGGGAAATTGAAACACCCAACAAAAATATATTATCAATCC